CACACTTAATGGGGGGGGGGGGAAGACACCAATTACGGGAAGTTGTTTGGCATCTCTAACTCAAGCGTCTGAAAAGTCAGTATCCAGAGAGTTCTTGGCTTAACAGGAAAATACCCCTGAAGGATTAAGGCTGGGGACTCTCTTACATCCTTATCTCAGTATAAATTAGTTTTTTAACCAACTTCTTGTCTCATCCTCTATATCAGCTGTCGTGAAAACATGGGTGTTTTGAGTGTGATACCATGGTGAGCGAGCTCTGTCATTAACATAGACCAAACATGTGTGTGTCTTTCCACAATGTCAGAATTTATTGAATAATAACAAATTCCAGGGCTACACCACCTTCATCAGAGGCAATTCACTGAATCCTTGTGGGTCACCTGGTGGTCAGAGCAGGGCAATCACAGGTTCTTTTATTCCAATCTTGATTTCTAACATCCAAACCACACCACACTTTACACAATGATACACATGTAGGTCACAGAAAGGCCAAGGAAGGTTTAAGACAGACACAGGTTTCCAAGCAGAGGCAGAGAGCAGATAAGAATGCAAAGAATCACTGTAGGTGGTTAGATAAGATCATGAACCAGCCAAAGAACTTGTTCGGGACACAGAGCCAGCAAAGTGCTGGAAAATCAAAAAAAATCAGACAAAGTGCTGGCATGTATTCCAGGCCAAGGACAAGAGGATGGCAGTTTCAGAGAGTCAGTTTGGAGTGGGCCACGTGTGATTGTCACCGGCAGAAGAAACCACACTGTGCTGAAGCCCGAGGACAGAGATTCAGAGGTTCATCTCTGTAGAAATTTTCCTAGGCAAGGCCTGTGACAGGTGACCAGGTGACAGAGTCAAGGTGCTGCTGTGTCCAGTCTCAGGGTGCTCCTCCTTTCATGGGCCTCGAGTGAGGGGGCTGCTTCATTGCATGCTCTGGTGTATTCGATAAGCACAGGAGCCTGGTTTTCCCAATGAGTTTGATTCATCCATACATCTAGGTGCTTCTGATTAATTTGATGAGCCACACGTGGTCATTTTTATCAGCATGATTAGTTTACTTATCAGTTGGTGCCTCACGGTTGTGCTAGGCCGGTGGTGGTTGTTTCTTTGTACAAACGAGGTGCAGAGTCATTCCATCTCAGCACTGAAACTCAAAATGGAGTCGCTCAGGACAAGCTGCTGCTTTACTAGATGGAGTGACACAGGTTTCGGCACAGCCCCCAAACCGCTGTTCTGTGCATCCTGGAGTAGCTCACAGGAGGGCACAGCCTGCCCTCCACAGGTGCAGAGAAGGGAGACCCTCTACTTACCTCTGGGTCAGCCAGACCTGCAGTTGGGGACACAGGCAGAGAGGGAGGAAAGGGGGTGGGAGGAGGCCACCAGGAGGAGAGGGTGAGACTCGTCTTTGCAAAACCAGACTCTGTAAGCAGAGGTCCTTGGAGGGTCGTGGGAGATTCCAAAGCTCTCAAATCACTTCAGTAACATTCATATTCATAGCTCATATATATATATATATATATTTATTTATTTTTTCCTGTTAACTGAAATTCCTCAAATAAAGAAAGTCTAGCTGTCTACTGGTATACAGAGTGACGAAATTTCCAGGCGAGGTGGTTTTTGCTACACCTGCTATCATGAAGCACAAGAAAAAGTGAAACAGGTTCCCTTAATCACATCGCTGTCCCTATTTGGAGGAATGACAGGAGATATATAGGCATCGTAATACAGGATGAATGCCTCCTACAGCTGACCATAGTCACGCAGAACCGGTTAACACTGACGCTTTCTCTGCCTCTCAGGTGAAGTTGGAATGGAGCATCTTTCTGATTCAGCTTCCCTCAACAGTCGTCTTCATCTCTTCATCTCACCCTCTTTCCCCAGAAATCCATGGCTCTGATGTATTTTAAGATTCCATGAAAAAACAGTCAAATCAGACAGTCTCATTTCAAATCCCAGCCCTACCTTACTGTCTGAATGACCTGAGTTATTTGAATTCTTTAAGCAACAGCTTCTTCTCTTGTAAAGTAGGAATATTAATAGGTGTCCCATTCTTCCTGTGTCACTTGAGGATGACTGAGTAGTATGTCATGAGTTGAACCCCCACTTGGCTGGAGCTAAAGAACAAAACTTCCTCATGTGTTTTTTTAAGTCAGCACCCACCATCTGTGCACGTGTGTGCCTGTGTATGTGTGTGTGTGTGTGTGTGTGTGTTTCCTCGAGACACACAAAACTCAGCAGGAATCATGCTTCAGTGGTACGTGCTCACATCAACCCCAGCACCATTCTGGCTCTTTGTGGGCTCCACGGTATGTAGGTTGCTGTTCCACTAGATTCCAGCGCTCTGTTTGCCAGAGGAGCTTGCAAGTGTGCCCAGCAGATTGTCGTGAGTCTGAAGGGTCCACATCACAGAGAGGGAAAGAAAGACATAAAATCAAGACGGTCAGAAAAAGGTTGTGTGTGTCCATTAGAAATTATCATTCAGCCTTTATTCAGGAAGAAAACGTGAGGCCCACAGGTATGTTGAGACTGTCCCAAACCCGCTCACCCCGGTGTGCATAGAACTGTAATTAAAGGTCAAGGGAAGAAGGAACAGGAGTTGGGAGTGCAGAAGGAAAAGGAGGAGGTGCAGGGAGGGTCCTGGTGTTCTTCCACAGCCCGTCCAAGAGGAACGGAGAGGGCTGTTTGGGGTCTCATGATCCATGTGGTTCCTTTGCTGGGCACTCCTGGGGGTCTGGGAGTGGCCGATAGGGCACACTGGGCCAGGAGGGCTGCAGGCCTGTGCGCGATCAAAAGAATCCGTGAGACTGTTTCCACTTTAGGGCCCCATGGTTTTGTCACTGTGCTGCGAAGGGTTCTGTGTGGTTACTGTGCAAGATGTAAAGGACCAGGCCTGATTCCCACAGTGCACATGAATGGATAAGGTTTGAGTAGGTAGAGAGGAAAGAAAAGGGCATTGAAAGGGGCATTTAAGACACAATGACTCAACCAGAGAGGACCAAAAAAAAAAAGAGAGAGAGAAAAAGTGGTGGTGAGTCGGGCTAGATTAATAAGAACAAGAAGCAATAATGCTCTAAAGCTGGTTAAGCCAGGGACTGGGGGGACCCTGATGGTCAAGCAAATGACAAACATTAGGAGTCACAGGGAACACTGAGAAGGCAAGCCGACTGTAGCATCAAAGGCATCAACAGGAAGAACGGTTGAAGGTCGCTGGCCGTAAGCTCCCAGAGCCAATATTTTGTACAGTGGGGGTTTTCATCAAAGTACAGAACTCCAGCATAGAGGAGGGAGCGAGGGAATTCTGAACCATGTCCCATCTGCATCAGAGTAAAAGGTGGCTCCAAGGAACCAATCTGTTGTGTTGTTGTGTTGTGTTTTGCTTTGCTTTTGAGAAAAAAAGTAAAAGATGTTTTATTGCTTTGCTAGCAAAGGAGAAGCACAGGGGACTCCTGTTGCAGGGGCTCTGATTCTGCCCATCAGGGGGAACAGAAGGCTTTTAAAGAGCTGATTCAAAGGCTACCTTCCAGGTGTGCCCTGATGCCGTCATGATTCACTTGTTAATTTGAGAGATGTCTTAGACCTTCTGGTGCCATCCCCGAAATCTGAATTATTCATTCCTAAGGACAGATATCTCAGCCTAGGATGGGGAAGGAGGTTATCTGTTATTTCCCGTCCCATGCATAAACACCCCCCATATTAACTAAGCGTGGGTCAGCATGGGAGAGGGAAAGAAAGAGAAAGAAACATGTCCATTTTAAAAATAAGTCCCAGCAACACAGCAGCAAGGGCTATATTCAAAGCATGAAGTAGACCACTGTTCCATTTCCCCACAGTCAATTCCCACCTTACATTTCTATGAAAAATGGGCAATGATATCTCCAAGCCGCTTCCTGCTGAGGGAGGGGAAAGGTGACCTACAGTCCTTGTTCTATCAGGTGGGGCATGGACTTACAGGTGTCCAGCATCAGGGCAGTGCATAGTCCATGGTGGCTGTTGGTAGGAGATAGACAAGGCATACCTAGGGCAGGGATCATGCTAGGACAGCAATAAACGAGACAGCAGAGCATTACTTTGTTTTTTTGTTTTTTGTTTTTTTGCAAACAATTAGCACAAAAGCAATTAGTATTTCAGCCAATCTCTGAAAACCAAGAAGATAGTAACTCATTGAAGCTTCAGGTGGGACCCAACATACCTTCAATCTGTGAGTGGAGGCCACTTTGTGCTTTAGGAATGTTACCAGAGTCATTGGAAACATCCACAATATTTAGTTTTTATAATGGCACGTGTCCCCTTGAACTGTAGTTAAAATATCTAGTGTCAACTGATTTCTGTAAAATAACTTGCTCATGATCATCACCTCTGTGTTTAGTAGAGAGATCCCTTTAACTGTGTCATTTAGGGCTCTCTTGGTAAAGCTAGTTAGGGCTTTTGTGTGCCACATCACATTGTTTAGACCAATCTAAGGGAGAAATATCAGGGTTAAGTCATCACACAAGAGAAAAACAGATCAGGTTTATCTATGTAGGAGCTTAGGAAGATTTGTTGGTCAATGAGATCAGGCTCGAATTGACTCCGGAAAAATTTGTGACTCTGGAGTCCTTTGTGATAGTTATTATTAGGCACTCCCAAAGAACCAGATTTTAAAATGGATTATTCAAGTAGATTCCAACTTGTTTCAAAATTCAGACAAAAATATTTGTCTTAACCAGTATTTAATATTTCATTATTCAAGTCTTCACAGGAACCACCCAGTGATATTCCATCACTGACAGAGCTGATGTCACCTTGTCCTTTGGGCCTGCTGTCATATTGATGGCCACACATGGGCCACATAAGAATGGTCTTTGAGGATATGACCAAGAGGTTTCTGGCAAATGTGATAAACTCTGATGCATCAGGAATCTTCTAAACATTCAAAAAATATAAAAAGATGCATATTGGTTTGTTTTCCTAGTCACTTGGCCTATTGAATTGCAAATAATATATGTATGACTCTGTGTGTTTTCTTCCAGGGTCTTTCTTTCCTGATTTCAAACCCTCCGAAACAGTTTTTAAAATAGTATTTTGGCTTGGATACCTAAACAGCTGCATCAACCCTATCATCTATCCATGCTCCAGTCAAGAGTTCAAGAAAGCCTTCCAGAATGTCTTGAGAATCCAGTGTCTCCGCAGAAAGCAGTCTTCTAAGCACACCCTGGGCTACACCTTGCATGCCCCCAGCCAGGCCCTGGAGGGGCAGCAAAAGGACATGGTCCGCATCCCCGTGGGATCCGGGGAGACCTTCTATAAGATCTCCAAGACGGACGGGGTCTGTGAATGGAAATTTTTCTCTTCCGTGCCCCACGGATCTGCCAGGATTACAATGCCCAAGGACCAATCAGCCTGCACCACGGCTCGGGTGAGAAGTAAAAGCTTTTTGCAGGTCTGCTGCTGTGTGGGGCCCTCAGACCCCAGCCTTGGAGAAAACCACCAAGTTCCAACCATTAAGATCCACACCATCTCCCTCAGTGAGAATGGAGAGGAAGTCTAGAGGACAGGAAAGGTCAGAGAAAAGGGGTGACCCTAGGCTCCCTCCCCACTTCCCACACAGAAGGCCACTCACCCTTCCTGCAGGACAAGAGGGCACCATCCAACACAGGCCCATCTGGGAATGGGGTGGGGGAGGAGACCCAACTCATCAGGCAGCAGGTGGGTCTCATGGAAGAGGCAGGATGTCTCACCACCACCTGGTTCAAAATGAGCCAGATGGCATTTCCCCCAAGCTAATATCTCTCAGTCATTTTCTGAATCTGCTTTCCACAACTGGCCCTTTCAACGAAAAACACCATGGGAAACAGAATTTCATACACAATCCAAAAGACTATAAATATAGGATTATGATTTCATCATGAATATTTTGAGCACACTCTCTAAGTTTGGAGCTATTTCTTGATGAAAGTGAGGGTATTTTATTTTCAGGCTAAACCTACTCACAGCCACATTTGACATTTATGGAGACAGGGCCGAGAGAGGAAGAACTGTAAGATGGCGGCCAATACCCGGGCACGTTCTTTTAAATTGAGTTTTAAAACTCCATCATTTCTTATACAACGAGTTTCTCAACTTGGGTGCAACTGGACAGTGAGATTTACCCTTGGCTGCACTTTGGATATTGTTCCTTGTCCCCTAAAGGGACATTCATGTCTCAGAATGAGACAGATACACATTCTCTGCCATTGGGCTTGGAGAATGTGGAAAGAACCAAGCAGGAAAAGCAGACTTTTCCCAAGAGACATGAGGCTCAGTTTTGCAAATTAACTACTAAGGACAGAAATCCTTCCAGAAGCTCCCAGATTAGATGAAAGAAAGCTCCTTCTGCAACATTTAAAGATCAAGAAGTTGGGGTGGGTGCTCATTTCCTCCTAAGGTAAAGATTGCCAAATTACTCCACAGCGTTTTTGATGTGGCCTAAAAAGACCTTTCTTGACAAATCACTTACCTTTTCCAGAACTCCAATTTGAAAATACAGAGCTCATTCTCTTTTGACTTCCATTTCTTTTTATCTGCTTGCCAATTGCATATTGAGGTGAGGTTTACCTGGGTTGTATTGGAATGAGCCCAAGGTCCAGGTATATCCTTCCTGAACTTTGAAAGACACTAATGCTCAGCCTTGAACATGGAATGACTGATGGCCAAAGAACTGCCCAGAGCATGAGTTTGCAAACGTTTTTGACAAAAACCCATCTATCCTGGTAAAAGATCCAGTAGCCTATTCAATTTCATCTATGCCTGCTTTCTGCAAGAACCTGGGGAGCATGCTATTTTTCAATTATATAAACACCGAATTTTGACAAACCTTAATAACTCAGATGACTGCTAATGACGGAGATGGTAACCATATGTAAAAATTCAAATATGCCTGTCATTCCACATTAAGAACTTAAAAAGTAGGATTTAAGAATTCCAGAGCAGGTTGAAGGGGATACGTAAACTTCCAGCAAGGCTATGGTCCCAGTATCTTTCTCTTCCTTCCTTGCTGCAAGGTGCTCGTTTCCTTAAATCTTTCTCAAAGGCGACTCTCTTTCCACGCTGCAATGGATGGTCTACATGCATGTGGGTTGGGGCTTTGTGGTGGGTTGTGTTTGGATTTTGAGTAGGACTGCTTCCTCGGTGTTATTCTGCCTAGAGTCCTCTGATTGTCCAGAGGGACGGATATTTGGCCTTGTGTTCAGAACTTGGATTCTGGCACTTAGAAGTTGGCTGGATTTTTAGACTCTCCTGGTCCTCTGCATGTCCCATAATGCTTCTACCAGATGTGTCCTTCGTATTCTCAAGGCAGGCATTAGGGAGAACTGGAATATGCAGGCCTCACTAATTTCTGCCTTGATAGGAAAGATAAGCCCTGTTGTCCAGAGAGCTTCTTTCAGATTCTGAATTGGGGGTGGGGGTGGGGGTCATCACGCTTGGCCCTGGTTTCCCCTGCAGGAAGGGTATCCTCATAGATAATCACTTTTCTTCAGCAAAATGTTATCCCATGTTAGAGATGATCTTTTAAACACTTTTACGGATAAATCTAAATTTTAGATATGGGAAAATGAAGAGCACCAAAAAGTCAGCATGCCACTTTCAATCAAAGTAAACCCCTAAGAAATCTTTTGACCATCAGATAAAAACCATGACAATTGTATTCATGTAAAGTTATCCATAAATAATTGTCTGCTCCACTGTTCTCCAGCACCACTCTCTCTGTGGAGGCAAACTCTTCATGTTTTTTTTTTCTTTTCCCATAGCATGATAACTGGTATAAACATGCCAAGAATTGGTCATGTCACCCAAAAGTTAGTAACAATGTGGATTAAACAATACACAAGTTATGTTTTACTCATCCACAAAAATATCTGTACTTTTAAGCATGCCAAAAATTATCTAAAATTGTTACAGCTAAACAAATGATTGTCATATTTATACTCACATGTTTACTGTTTCTATTTGGAGTGGGAGGAATTTACCCAGAGTAACAGTGGTTACAATGTTTTCTCCAATGTGTTATAAAAAGCAGCTGCTCTGGGATTGTCCCGACATCACAAGAATCGATGTTGATGTCGCATGGGAGAGGCGAGATGGGCCTTGATTCTGCAGATCATATTGCATGCGTTGAAAGGGTCCTTGAAGTTCTTTATTCAAAAATTTCCCCAGACTATTTGCAAGGGTTTCAGAAGAGCATTTTACTCACCCTCCTTTTCTTCTCATTTGCTTCTGGGGCGAGACCTGCCTAGGTCCTCATACCCACACTTTAAAATATGGTTACTTGGGATTGACTGCAAATTAACCTTGGCAAGTAGGCTACCAAATCTCCAGTGCAGCCAAGAGCAGGTCATCATCAGAAATTTGTATCTACAATTCCATCAGACCACACCACTTTTTTAGGGTTGATTATCTAGAATGTTGTTCAGACCTTGCAAGAAGGGACAAGTATACCAACTTGGGAGAAGATGGGCACATGAGAGAATGCAGAAGAGGCTTCGTAGGCCAAGAATCGAAAACACAGTCGTGGCCAGGACACCCACTGGGAGGTGTGTTGAAGTTATTGATTACCAGCCGTGGTTCATAGGAACACTCCGGAAGTGTATTTTTTTTTTTTGAGAAAAATGAATGTAAACAGATCCATTGCTTACTCTCACGTGTATTCCAACTTTTTTTTTTAATTTTGTTTTGAGTTGGAGAAAAGGGAAGGGATGATAGGTTTTCCACCATGAATTGCAGAGAATGTGTTGAGCATGGGAAACTCATGGATGCCACTGTGAGAGAAGGGTTCAGAATGGTGATTGCCAGGTTGCCAGAGACCCAGGCAATCTGAGGCACCCATTGGCAGCTGTGCTACTTGCTAGATGGCAGCCCCCTGCCTCTGGATTTTCTTTCCCATATGAAAGCAGCACATCGCAACCATCTTGGTCTCTCCTCTCTTCAATGTGCACCATCATGCAGATCTTCTAGCTTCAGTGGGTCTCTTGGTCATGCCCTGGGGTGAGAACATTTGGGGAAACTATTTGCTTGGGCAAGTAATCGTTCATCCTTTAATGACAGCTACTTAGTCACAGCTGGACAAACATTCTCAGTTGCTTCTGGGGCGAGATCTGCACAGGTCCTCCTGCCAAAAAACGCTGCCTCTTTATGTGAACATTTGTTGATGTATTTAAGGACAAGAGCTCTGCTCATCAACAAAGCGGGGAGGGGTGGCAATCAAGGGGAAGTCAAGCAGGTGGAAGGCAAATCTCCTAGAAAAAGCCAGGGAAGGCAGAGGTGGCAGAGGTGGCACACATGGAGACATCAGAGCTGTACTCACTCGACCCTCTGATCTCTTTTACACTACTAGGACTTTTAACCATGAAACCACCTGTACACAGCTCCCGACGAGCCCAGTTGGAACACTGTTGCGCCTGCTCCGTGTCTACAAACTAAGCTGTGGAGCAGGGCTGAGTCCACCATCTTCCAAAAGCAATGGCAGCAGTGGCCTCTGGCCCTTCAAAGTCCCTGCAAGATGAGTGAGTGGAAATGACTGTCACCCAGCTGAGCCAGGAAAACAAGTTAGGATGTCAGCAGAGGACCCTGGCCCCTTGCCCAGGTTGCCATCAGCACAATCTTATTTTTGATCCCCAGACCCAAATGTCATGTGGGTGGACTGGGAATCGCTGCATCTGCTCTGGGTAGGACAATGTCATTTCTTCTTCACCACTGCAGCCGGATTATGGGTTCTCCCACCTGCAGGGAAGGCTGCGGGGTGGCAGGGGGGCTGAGGGGCAGGGCGTTTAGTGGTGTTTTGCTGCAGCTAAGAAGGAAGGAACTGCCGTTAGGCTGGAAGCTTGCTCATTTCAAGAGGCAAAATGATTCCTTTTCCTTTCCCTGTGGCTCAGGAGTTTCTACATTATCTCCCTCCATATCATGTTCAGTGTGGACATGTTATAATCTGGAAATAATTTTGGCCAGACTAGGAAAGCTACAGACTTCATTAGGTAAAAAAATCTTAAAGCAGTTGTATACTGTATTTAGAGAAAAATATGCCGAGGGCATGGGCCTATTAGACAGCCTGAATGCAGCAGGTGCATTTGAATGTGAAAGAGAAGACGTGAAGACTGAAAAGCCCAATGTGAGTTTCTTATTTTCATCCATGACTTTGCTTTTTATTTGTCCAGGTGATTTCTCTTATCTCAGGACATTCCCATGTGGCAGAAAGAGAAGCAAGGGCTTCACTTGGCATATGAAGAAATAGGGGAGTGAGCGGAGGGGTTTCTTTGAATATCCCCATATTCAGCCTCCACCTCCTTTTTCAACAACACCTCCATGTCCCCGAGGTCCACAACCTCTAACTTTCCTGTTTTGCCCCTCCATCTCTAACCCATAATTCCAGCTGTGTTGGCACCTGCTCCCCTGCTCTCTCTGGCAGCACAGTATCATCCCAGGGGCCAAGTGCAGGTTTGTCCCCGTTTCTCTCCGTGGCTACCAGACAGGACATGTAATTCTGCTCCTTCTCCCTAGCTAGAACACCACGGAGTT